CCGCACCCCCAAGGACCCTGCTTGTCCCCTGAATGCGCTGCCCGCACCCTGCGCCCACCCCGCAAGCCCCCTGCCTGCACCCTCCATGCACTGCCCGCACCCTGCTCGCACCCTCAGTGTGCTGCCCGCACCCCGCAAACACCCTGCCTGTGCCCTGAATGCGCTGCCCGCGCCCCCCGCACCCCGAATCCACACTGCGTGCCCTGCCCGCACTTCCCCTGGCACTGCCCGCACCCTGCCCGTGCCCCCCCTGTTACTGCCCGCACCGCCATTCCGACAGCCACAGAGGCTTGTACTTCCGCAGGCTCTCGTCCCCCGGGTCCAGCTCCTGGATCTCCCGCAGGCTCTTCTTCTCCGGCGTCTTGTACGCCAGGGCCACGTCGGCATCCCCCTCCTCCTCCTCCTCCAGTGACAGCGTCACCCCCTCCTTGTCAGCCATGATGTCTGTGGGGGGGACAGGCAGTGGCAGTCCTGCCGCCCCGGGGACACCCCAGGGGGACACCCTCCACCCTGTGACACGCAGGCACCGGCGGGCAGGGGGTGGCCGAGGTGGGACACGCCAGGGATGGATGTGAGCAATCCCCTGTGGGCCAGCAGAGTTGTGTCCCCCCCCCACACTCGGGGCCATGGTGACGCCACCGTGCTCCGTGTCCCCAGGGCCTGGTGGCACAGCTGAGACCCGAGGCGTTGCCGCCGGCCGCATTTCCGCACGGTCATGGAGCGAGAGGAGCTGGTTGTCTACGTGGTGTGCACAATCCGGGGGGGGTGCCTGCAGCCCACAGGCAACCTTCACACCCCCGTCACCCGGAGAGGTCCTTGTCACCACCCTGCGGCCTCCTCCAGCCCCCATCCCAGCCACCAGCCCCATCCCCACCCCAAACCCCAACTACCAGGAGCTGCAGGGGAAAGAAAAAAACCCAGTTCTGGGGTAAATAGTGGCTCTGGTGGGTGCCAGGCTGCTGGGGGGGCACAAGGGCGGGTGATGTCCCCCCCAGGGTGGCCCCTGACTCTGCCCTGCTGCCTGCAAGCCCCCCCCAACCCGTCATCCTTGTGACTGCAACCCCTGAGCTCCCCAAATCCTCTGGGAACCCCATCCCTGGGGACACAGCCTGTGGAGGGGCCACCGCGCTCAGCCCCCCGGGGCTGCAGGGCCAGCTGGGGGGGTCCCCAGGGCAGGGGTGGTCACCGGGGGACAGAGCGGTGTCCCCGCTGCACCCCTGGACCCCCGGCACGGGCAGAGGCCCTGCATCCCGGGGCTGGCACGGCAGGCTGCAGCACCCCGCCATGCTGGCTCCCAGCAGAGGGATGCCCCCACCCAGGGGTGCCAGGACAGGGTGCTGGGTGCCACATGGCAAGGGTGGCGGGGAGGGGGGGGGAAGTGGCTGGGTGGTCCCCCACCCCTCCGGGATGCTCCGGTCCTCCAGGGGTGCCGCTCACTCCTGGAGGCACCCGGGGTGCTGCTCACCTGTTGGGGACCCGGGGTGGTGCTCCCCTCCTTTCCCCCCCAACCCCGGGGGCGATGCCCACCGCGCTGCCCCCAGGCCGTGCCCATCCCGGGGGGCACCGGGGCGATGCCCTCCCCGCCGCCGCCGCTCACCTCGGTAGCAGAGCGCCAGCCAGAGCAGCTCCA